TATTTCAAATATTCACAAGTAAGAAAATAAAACTAGTAATTACATATATATCTATATATATATACACACACAAACACAAATAAAAAAAACTTGGAATTCCTGGAGGCCCATTAATATAAGAACAGGTAAAATAATACCTGAATAACTAAATTTAACACATCCATGTGTTAAATGTAACATTATTGGAAAAAAATATTATGTATCCTTTTTGGCATCATAAAAAAAATTGCCACAGTCCCAAATCCTCTTCAGTATAAACCAGCCTACTATAACTTGAATATATGAGATTGCTGTGTAAATAAAATAAACTGCAAAATGGCTAAAAGTTAGATACTTAGAATTAAAAAATGATGACAATGAAGTAACCCATTGAAACAATACATACTTTTATTCCTTAGTTCCACATGTCCTGATTTTAGTTGTTTTACAATTTCATACTACATAGGATTTTTTTATTTGTTAGATGTCATTATGTAAACAGCTACAATTGTTATTGTTTACTTGGTGATACGAAATAGTGTCACACATGCTTAAGCAGTAGTAAAAGTCAAATTCTTTACGTATTCTGCTTTTCACGCTTGGAAAATTACCTTAGGCTAATAAAGTAGCCTTTTCTCTACTGAATAGATGTTGACAAGATGTTGTTTTATATAAATTACTCTTATCATTTCACAAGTTTTTCATATTTCCTGTGAAAGATTACATTAATACAGGTACTGATGGGTGACCCACACATTTCTTCATTTATTCATTGCAACTTTTAGCATCTCACCTTTACTTGTAGCTGTCCATGTTGTTTCATTCATCTGGAATTCCAAGTCATCATGCCCAGGTTTCTGAGAACAAAAATATTCAAACCTTTATTTGAAATCTGATTTTAAAGTTGCACAGAATTTTGTGAAGAAAAAAAATGAAGCTATAATTAAACTAATTATAGATTTACTTTTTTTTTATTTTGTTAGATTACTTATATCAAAATGCCATGAAATGGCCCTATTATTGTTTTTGGAAATATGTAATATGTTATGCCATATTATATTTAAAAATATGTCATAATAAGGTTTCTAAAATTAATTGTTTTTCTCATGTATAAAATCTTCATGGCTTTTATCTCTATTCCCAAAACTTTAATTTATGTTAAACAATACTATCACCTGTACAACGTTCCTATATATTGTATGATATATTTTATCATTAAATAAAACCCATTTGCTTCTCTTGTCAGTTTAATGATCATGTGGTGTTATTTTCACTCAAATGTGTTTATTATCATCAATTAGTTCAGTCACCATTTTTGTTTAAGTAAAATACAGCATCATTCATGACTTAATAGTTTCATAAACTAAACAAATCTAGAAAACTGAAAAATACCTTTTCCTCTTGCAAGCTGATTGGATGTTTTTTTCTCTTCTTCTTCATTACTAACCAATTTTTGATTAATTTGTTCATCAACACTTGAATTTCTTTGATCTAATCAGATTAAGAAAATTTCTTATGAGTTTTATATTTCTGTTATTGTTTCATTTACTACCTTTTCTGAGTTCGCTGTAACATTTATTAGGACTATTTAACCTGAATTAATTTTATGTTTGATCTATTTTTATTCCCAAGCCTATTCAATCTACATGTACTTGTTTCATGCACAATATTATATAGAAATTACTCTTTTTACTTTTTTTTTTGTAGGATAGAATATTATTGACTGATTGACTTACAAATTTAAAGTCTTATCTCTGGAAGAAAAGTAGTTAATTCTCCCTTCAAAGCTTTACCACCATTTCTAAAATCATTAAAAATTCTCATTCTTGATTTTTTTTCTGTAAGTCAAGAAAACATTTTCTATTATTATAAAGTACCCACATTTGCACATGGTTAATATAAAACCAACCA